AATGGGCCGACTGCACGGCCTGCGGCCGAAAGAGTTTGAGCGAGTCCGTTGAGGGATCCTAAAACGGCATGATCCGGGGCGGAGTTGGTAATCTAGGTTGGCCATGGTTAGCTTGATGATCTTTCTTCTGTCATTGACAGAGATAGCCAACTACTTACCAGTAGAAGTGCGCTTGTCAGCCCGCCAACTGAAGCGACTGTTTTGACGAGCAACGCAAAGCACAACTCGATCGCCAAAAGCGCGGTCTTCCCGCTTATTCCATTACCGCCATCGCTCTTGTACCCGACAAAAGGCATTAGCAGGAATGAAATGACAAAGCCAAAAAGGCCCGCTCGGTAAGACCAGCGATTTCCCATCTTGTCTCTCAATTTGCCGAAAATGCAGATTTGAAAAACAATTGTGACAAAACCAGAGAACCCTTGAGCAAGACCAATCTCCGAGGGAGTCAGGCCACGCCCAAGTGGGGGACGGGCTTGCGAGAAGATAGGAAACAGGGAGTTGAAGGCAACGTTGCAGAGAGCGAAGATGAGATAGGTCAAAAGGAGCAGCACAGTATCCCGATTGAATATTTCACTCCGTGTCAATGACTCATGGTGTGTCTGGCGAGTCTCCGACACCTCTGACGCCGAATCTAGTTCGCTATCATGATCCTGACTTTCGTACGAGCTTGTACGAAGATGGCGATAACTGCCGGTATGTGGTGGTTTTACCCGACTCGCGCTCTTTGCAGAACTAGTCCACTCCCACAACCACGCAAACAGAGCACGAACTCTTTGCTTGAAATCTGGCAAGGTCTCTGCATCCTCCAAGCTCTCTTCAAGGAAGAATATCGACAGGACGAAGTCCACAACTAAGACTCCACCGGCGAGCAGGTTCGGCATGAGGTACGGGAAGGGGTTGGGTTGGCTCTTGTCGAAGGGATTCCGCTCGAAGACCAACAAGCCACCCAGGAGAGGTCCGGTTATGCCACCAATACCATAAAGAACAGGCAGATAGGTAAAGGCCTTCGACTGGTTGCTCCGATCAGTGATCTCACCCAGGCATGTAGAGACCAGACCTTGGTTGCCATTGACGGCACCCATCATCGCCTGAACAACGATTGCCTGGTAAAGCGTTCTGCAAAATCCAAAAGCGCAAAAGCAAGCCGCCGTGAGGATTGTACCCAGCAGAATAACCGGTTTCCGCCCTATGCGATCAGATAGCCAGCCCCAGAAGTAATTTGTGATCAGCTGTGCTACTGCGAACGCAGTAGCAATCGCTCCGACGTATACACCGACCATATCGGGTTCGACTTCGGGGAAGGATGACGCCATATCGGGTAGGTAGGGACTGACGGAATTGAAAGCAGTCTGCTCGCAGAGGGATATCATCGCAAGCACCGCCATCTGTTTCTTCGGCAGGGGCGATCCGTGCCCCGATCCATGTTGAGAATCGCTTGGTTGGTGATGCGAGTCGTCGCCTGATGATCCAGATTGACCGGAGTTCGGTCTTCCGCGAGATTTCGGCGGCGGGGTGTCGAAGGTCTGATAGTGCAGCGTAGAGGAATGTCGCCGGTTCAGCGGATTGTGCTCTTCTGTCCTCATCTCGGCAAAACAGAGATAGTACGCGAATCTCTATAGCAAGCTTCAAGTACTCCCCAGAAAACAGCGCGATAGAGGCGGTGGCTGAGCCTCACCAACAGTAAGAGCAATGACAAATGGCTTCAATTGCCACTACCTCGTTCGCGATGCGGGGGGCGTTGGAGCCCCCAGAAACAAGACTCGGGGGTGGATCTGGGGCAACAGCAGCGAACTATAGTCGCAAGTACCTTCAATGACGCGCACTTAACGTCCAAGACTGGAGAGAAATATCCAAAACAAAGCAGAAGCTGTCCACGATCGAGAGAATGTCGAGTCAAGGAAGAGGTGCCTGGATTGTCAAGTGCGGAGCAGCACCGGCAAACCCATGCGGATGATGTAAGCGTTCTGGCTGCAGTGGAAGATCCACGGCTGAGTCATGCGGTGGCTATCAACTGAGTTGATATGACAGGTATGATTGTGAACTGTTCCTGAGAGCAATTGTATGATGTATATAACGGTCATCGCACAGGAACTTACTCCCACATTCTGTCACGGGCTTTACGTGTCCTGAGGGAGGAATCATTTGCAAGCGCTGCACTCTCTGTTCTCGTGGCATTCCGCGGGAGATGATCAGCTACGGATCTTGTAATCCGCCTGTCATAAAGCCTCTCTAGGAAGGGTGGCAAAGATGTACAGTGAGCTTTACCTCAGAGAAAGAGTGGCTTCTCTGCGATTCTAAGATGTATTTCAATTAGAAAATTCGAAACTGTTGATATAATTTCCGATCTTATAGCATAGTAACGCACAGATCAATATATCAGCTGGCCTGCTGGCCCAATGGTAAGGCGCTTGACTACGGATCAAGAGATTGCAGGTTCGAGTCCTGCGTAGGTCATTCTTTTTTGGAACTTCATTTTTGGTTCTTTCTTATCTTCATTTAGTTTATATCTATCTTAATTCTATTCATTCAAACCATTTACACCCCTCCGCATCCAAGCTCTGGCCTACTGTCCCGTTGCCGATGATATGCACGTTCATCTCGTGTAGCCTTCTGCTGGAACCATTATCATGGCTTCTGATAGGTACGGTCTTCAAAGCGACACTATACTGTGACCCGACTAAAGATTATGAATAGCTTGGACTAGCCTATGTGTGGAATTCATGGTTCTTCATCGTAGTCATATTCATTACTCGCCGGAATGTATTAATGTAAGCTGCGCGCCAATCACTTCATCAACAAATTGACAGCCCAAGGGACACTGAGTCCTCTCAGGTCACCATAATGCTGACCAACTCCCAAGAAGACAATGGGAATACCTGTAGCATGCACCATGCTGACCAGCGTTCCCACCATGTCACCAACTGTATCACATTTGCTGATGATGAAGCCGTCAAGGTTCCGCCCAGTACCGAAGGCCTGGTTGAAATTGCGAGCCTGCATCACACTGTCCGTACCAACCAAGGCTTCGCCAACCATGAAGATCTTGTCTGGATTAGCAAATTTAGCAAACTTCTCCAGAGAGGACATGAGGCGCTGGTCGTTGTGTCGGCGGCCGGCAGTATCGATAAGGACGACATCGAAGTGGTTGGCAGCTCCGTATTCGACAGCATCCTTCGCCACGTTTGCTGCATCCTTTCCGTAACCCTTCTCGTACAGCTCAACCTCGCCAACGTTCTCGCGGGCACTGAGTTCCCTGAGGTTCCGTGCATGAACACGTAGCTGTTCCACAGCTCCAGATCGGAAAGTATCGCATGCGGCGATGAGAACACGGTATTTGTTCTGCAGTAGAAAATAGCAAATCTTTCCCAAGTTGGTCGACTTTCCAACGCCGTTGACACCAACGATCGAAATAACATAAGGACGAGGAGATTGCTGCTTGCTAGTGGGAGACGTAACCGCATCGATTTCACGGAGCAGATCAAGAGAGGAGGTAGGCGTCAGTATTTTCCGAAGAGATGACTCCATGGCCGAGCGCAAAGCAGCATCCACACTTTGGAAATTGCCTGTTTTTTTCCCCACGAGCTCCCGCTGGACACCCTCACACAGCCGGACCGCGGCCTCGCGTGCAACGTTCTTCCTCAACAAATGATCTTCCATGGTCTTCAAGGGCTTCTCCAAATCCGCTTCAGTAAGGGTCTTCCCGCCCACGATATTACGTAGAAGACCTCCAATTGCATTGAAACCTGAACCGACGAAACCAGCAGAGGACACATCCTTTGCTTTATCGCTTTCTGCATTTTCCAAAATCGAGTGAACTTCGTCTCCCAAATCTTTCAGTACGAACTGGCCCTTGCCAGTTCTGTGTCCCCAAGAATCTTGCGACACGCCTTCCACAGCTGGAGCAGCGGCTTCTTCACCGTCAGCATGGGCTGAGTAGTCGAGGATCTGACCATCATCTTCATCGGCAAATCCATCGGCATCCCACTTGCGCATCTTTTTTCCGCTCTTGGGTGTCTTTCCTTTGCGGTTTTCGTCGCCTGAGGAAGCATTGGCGCTGGCGTTAGCGGCCTTGCGTGCACGACGTGAAACTCGGCCAGCTGGCCCCCCCTTGGCAGTTATGATGTGGTTCGCAACAGGGGTGGATGACCGCGATGTATCCGGGGTGTGCGGTGGCGTACTCTCATCAGAGGTCGCCCCGGCTAGCGCAGCTTGATGCTGCGCTTTAGGAATGTTAGTATCATTACATGTTATAAAGCCCATTTAGATGCATACCTTTGAGAAGACCAGGCACAGGTGGCGGAGGGGGGCCGCCATTGTCAGACGATACCAGCGGGTCTTTCTTATCGACCGCATGAGCCACGAATGCCTCCGAAGAGATAGGCCCCGACTTATCCTCAAGCTCCCGAACTTGCTGGTCAAAGTATTTGTCAAAGGGGTACTGTGCTATCCTTGCGCGAGTACTTCGTAATTGATCCTTGTACAAATCGATGTACAGGGTGGAAATGTTGTCCAGGAGTTTGTCGATCCAACCAAGCTGTAAGAGAGACTGATAGACGGCCTAGAGCGATTTGCGGTCAGAGACAGAAGAGCTGAGACGCGGTCGGAGACAACAGCATACCACAAAGATCAAGTCGAATTCCTTCACTCTTTTCCACTTTAGAGTGTACTTCTCTTTCTTGAACGAAGGGGCAGCATTGTTCGTTGCCTGAAGCTGGACCTTCTCCTCGATGAAGACATCATTGATAAGGCTGTTAACAATATGCGCCCCGACAGGCGCGTACGATTTCGACCACAGGACTACCCCTGAGGCAGTCAAGATCTCGAATGCTTCCAACATGCTGCTGATAAGTAAATATGCTGTATTGGCGAAACTGGGGTACGGAGGCGAGTGAACAATGATGTTGGAGTGAACGGCGAGATCCGCGCAGTGGGGAATTTGCGGGCGGCAAGCTGATCTGTCGGTGATCCGAAGGGAAGGACTTCAGCCACGTAGAAACACACCTCAACCTTCTCCCATTCTGCGCTCTAGTCACCACCGATTTGCCGTCTCGGCAACCCCTCGAGCTCTGAAGGACAATCTTTGACTATTGTACTTCTCTCAACTACTTTGATACAACCCAGGAACCATGTACCGCCAGTCGTTCGCTCCACCCCCAGCGCAGTCCCCTCCCCTTCACCATCCTGTGCCTCAGCATGTCTCGACCGTCCCCATGATGCGCTCGCCGCCGCCTCCGGCATCACAACAGCCTCAGACTTCTGGCTATGGCAACCCATACCAGCCCGCCCCTGCGCAGGGTGGCAGCGGAACCTATGCTCCTGGCTTCGGGGGGTTCATCAATGATCCCACCGCGCAGATGGGATTCCAGGTCGGAAAGACCGCCATGGCAGCTGGACAGGAATATATGGAGCAGAACGTAAGCAGCAGCTTCAAGGATGTCTCTAAGATGAAAGATGCTAACCAGGGATAAAGTTCAATCGCTATGTCTCTATACCAGCTCTAAAGCACTATTTCAACGTCTCGAATTCTTACGTCCTGAACAAATTGTCCCTCGTTCTCTTCCCTTGGCGGCACAAACCCTGGTCCCGTCAACAGGCGCGTCTTACAACAGCTTCAACTGGTCCCAATGGCCAGATATCCCAGCAGCAATACTCTTCCATGTTCCTCCCTCCGCGCGATGATCTCAACTCTCCAGACATGTATATCCCCGTCATGGCACTTGTCACATACATCCTTCTCTCAGCGATGTTGGCCGGATTCCGCGGTAACTTCCATCCGGAGCTGCTTGGTTCAATTACTACTACTGCTATCGCTGTCATACTGTTCGAGATAATGTGCTTGAAGCTGGCTATGTACATCCTCAGCATTAACAACGAGTCACAGCTGCTGGATTTGGTAGCATATTCGGGATACAAGTTTGTCGGCATCATCGTCACTTTGTTGACATCTGAGATCCTCACTCCGGGCCGAGGAACCGGCGGCTGGGTTGGCTGGGTCGTCTTCATTTACACCTTCCTTGCTAATGCCTTCTTTCTGGTACGTTCATGGCCATGTGCTTTTTTGATGACTGTACTAATGGTGCCTCATAGCTCCGTTCTCTGAAATACGTTCTGCTCCCGGACTCCACAAGTGATGCATCCATGCGCACTGGTTCTATGCACACGGTTGCTCGCTCGCAGCGTAACCGTCGCACCCAGTTCCTGTTCATCTACTCGTACGTTATCCAGTTCGTGTTCATGTGGGTTTTGAGTCGGGAGGGGCCGATGTCTATGGCTTCTAGTGGTGGAGCAACTGGTTCAGCATAGGGTCATGTCGGTACCGGGTTGCACATAATGATATAGACGGACCTCATGAAAGGGAATAGGGATATTAGTTCATATTCATGTACGCTTTGTGGAGAGCAGTATAATTGATTTAGATTACAATTTTCTTAGATCAGGGATGTAATTGGTCACGTCGTGCTCCTGCATTATGCTAGGACATGAAGTCATACCGGATGGACGATAGCTACTGGTGAGACACGATCACACCAGAACGGTGCGGGGCTATGCGGTGTTCCAGCAAGTCTACTTTTGTTTACAAGCACTACAAATTTCTAGAAACAGTCACAGATGATTGATCACAAAACATATATTAAATTTCAATATATCTCTAGCTAATGCCTTTATAGCGGCGCAATCGGAAGTCCTATAATCCCACGTTAGCATTTAGTCAAACAGGTAATGAGTGACAAAATTGTAGGATGAGATGCTCCTCAGAGATCTTGGTGATGAAGGAAATTTCATTGCCAAAGGCATCAACTACTATCTAGGCGTGATAAAGTTTTTTAATCACTGGAGGGGGTGTGCAATCAAGGAAATGCAATCGCAACGTACCGTAAGAGCAAGCTGTTGGCAATGGGAGTCGAGTGGCATGAAAGTGCAAACCTGCTTGATCTTCGACATGTTAGCGATGAGACTCCAAGAGGAAGTATGGTGTCAAGATAACAAGGTAGAAATGAGAATATCAGAATATGTAAGAAATTGAATATCATGCGTCAGTGCTGTATAGAAACCCCGGCGAGGGCTTCACAGACACTGGGTCAATCGCAAATTACCGCATCATGTGAGGGGGTATATATTAAACAAGGTAAAAGGAAGGAGTAAAGAGCTTACCAGTTAACGTGTGGAGAGTCAAGCTCCCTGGTGGAGTTAAGTTAGTAAACAAGATGGCGGAGTAGTTCTGGACAGAACGACATTTTGTTCTGATGCAAGATGGCAAAAGGTCGACAGAGTCTGGACCTTTACAGTTCTGCAAGATAGCAAGAGGAACAAGCAAAGCAGATCGGGTTGAAAACTTGAAGCTTAAAAGCAACTCCATCGGAGCGGATAATATCCGACCTCCGATGGAGCGCGCTAAGGCCGGGAGGCAGCCCTAGGCCGCACGCAAACGCCCCTGGATGGGCTGCTACTGGCTGCTAAGCGAGACTCTTGTGGGCGAAGGGCCGCAGCACCGAAATTCGCTATCCAGCAGACCAGAGCGACTTGTGCGTTTCGGACGACTTCGACAACCCGACATTTCGACAACAAATTATCAACACCGTCCTCCCGGAGTCTGTCGACCGTGAGTTGCTGTCCGCCCTTACCGTGATCCCCGCAAGACTTCAACTAAGACGTCCCTTTTTGCTATTTTTCTAGGAAGCCTTCGCCATGGCCGATATCGATGTTCAGGTTGCTCAATGGAAGCTGGTTGAGGTTGGCCGCGTTGTGCTGATCCGCAGCGGTCCTTACACCGGCAAGCTCGCTGCCATTGTTGAGATTGTCGACCACAAGCGTGTACGTTTTTGCGCATATACCGGAGTTGCTACGAGCGCGAAGGAATGGGATTTCTACTAGGAGGAAATGCGATATTGACAAAGAGTTCCACCGATTAGGTCTTGGTCGACGGTCCCTCCACCGAGGAGCAGAAGATCGTTCCCCGCCACGTCCTTCCTCTCTCCCACGCCACCCTCACTCACTTCGTCATCCCCCGTTTGCCCCGTGCTGCCGGTACTGGCCCCGTGAAGAAGCTTTGGCAGAAGGAGGAGATCGATGGCAAGTGGGCCAAGTCCAACTTCGCCCAGAAGACCGAGCGCGCTGAGCGCAGGAAGAACCTGTCCGACTTCGAGCGCTTCAAGGTCCTCCGCCTCCGGAAGCAGGTACGTTTGCGAATCGCGATGATGTGATATGCACGGAATATTGGGTCATCTGGAGAAATCATATAAAAGTGGTCGGGACTATTGGTCGATTACTGGAAAAGAGCCGGGGACACTATGTGCATGGAAATTGCAGGAATAGGTGCTGACATTTCGGATTCAACAGGCTCGCTACGAGGTCCAGAAGGCTCACGCTAAGCTCAGGGCGGCTGCTCCTAAGTCATAGACGGTTCATGAGGCTCGGTGCATAGAGTGACAGGGTTGCCTTGGGACGGGGTTATTTGCTGAGGTTTAATTTATTTTCAGCAAAATGGGCTGTACGCATTATTGACAGCATAAAAATGATTCAAGAACCTTTGATATCCTGGCATAGGTTATCCTCGTACGTCATGAAAGATGGAGGGCGGCACGGAACGCCTTGCAATTAGTATATGGCAAATGGTATCTCGGGGTATTAATGATCTTGACATGACCTGCTCATCACTTAGACAAAAACCAATCCACAAACCCAAACATTTCCCCGTAAATCAAAGCAGTATTATTTGATACATGGCAATGAATTGCTGCAGATTAAATAAATTAATGTAGAGGGAACGCTTGCGCCAGTAGAAGTGGTGGTTGTACGATCTGTAGATGCATCGCTTCTGTGTGTCCGGGGTGAGGGTCCCAATAAGCTCGCTAACGATTTTCGGCAGGATGACATTCACACAGCTTTGCGACTTCCCAACTACAACAAGGCAAAAAAATCCCCCTCATCCACCACAGCCCTTTGTTCCGCGTCTAGGTAAGTTGAAATGGAATTCCTTGCCGCGAAGTTCAATTTTACGGTCGATTTTGGCGATTTCCCGCAGATTTGTGGGTGTACCACGGTCTGAGAGGGACATCTTCGAACCTCCCACATCCAGCAACCAGTCACGTCCCACAGTGTGATTTGCTGACCATCAACTCTACAGCCCTTCTAGGCTCACTCGATTTACAAAATGGCCGACCCCCGTGTTGAAGAGCTCCCCGACGAGGAGGTTCCCAAGACCAACGTTGAGGATGCCGGCAGCTCCTCCGAGTCTGAGGCTGGCGATGAGCCCACCATCCCCGGTGGTGCCGCTGTCACCATCCACTCTCGCAACGAGAAGAAGGCTCGCAAGGCCATTGGCAAGCTCGGCCTGAAGCACGTTCCCGGCATCACTCGTGTCACTCTCCGTCGTCCCAAGAACGTATGAATACGGCCCTGTCCCTCCTTCCCGTGCGACGCTCAACAAACCCTGCATTCGTGCAGTTATTGTGGGCGACGAAGGATTTTCAGACTGCAGAGGCTAATCTATCGCATATAGATCCTTTTCGTCATCAACCAGCCCGATGTCTACCGCTCCCCCTCCAGCAACACCTGGATGTATGTGTCTCCTTGGACTATGACGAATTGATGAATGCTTACATTGTTGCGACAGCATCTTCGGTGAGGCCAAGATCGAGGACCTGAACGCCACCGCCCAGGCTACCGCTGCCCAGCAGCTTGCTGAGGCTGCTGCCAACGAGCACGCTGGTCACGACCACGAGCACGACCACGGCAAGGGCAAGGCCCCCGAGGCTGAGGCCAAGAAGGAGGAGGAAGAGGATGATGGCGAGGAGGTCGATGAGTCTGGTCTTGAGGCTAAGGACATCGAACTGGTTATGGCCCAGGCTAATGTGTCCCGCAAGAAGGCCGTCAAGGCTCTCCGGGAGAACGACAACGATATCGTCAACTCCATCATGGCTCTCAGCATATGAACACCGCCGGAATGAACGCATGAATCGGTGGCTGGCGTCTCTTGGCCCTGCTGGCAGGATGGATTTTGGGTGCGAGGTCAGATTGATATCCCCTAGGATGCATGTACTGTCAGGCCCCATAGTGTAAATCATTTAGCCAAAAGCAGAATTGAATGATGTGAAGCACTATTTGGAACCGCCATTTGGTAGGAATATTTTTTTTTTTTAAAAAAAAAAAAAAAAAAGGTACACAAATTCTTCCGGATTCGGAGAGTTAATCAAATTAGAAAAACAAAAACCTCGGACTATAATTGAAGGTAGTATAAACATGTAAGCTCTCCGGACTATCTATATCCACGCCCGCCCCTGCGAACTCCCTTGTGTAGTGCCAGTTCGGGAACACGGGAAAGCCGTGGTCACGTGAGTGCATCCCCATTCCAAATCTTGCCGAGTTCAACCCTCACCCTCCCGGAACCTCCAGCTTCGCACGTTGAACTCCCCTCTCTCCCCCAACCTTCTCCGTTCCACATCTCAAAATGGCCACTGTATGTGGGGTTCCTGTTTTTGTCATAAAATTGTCTCGGATGGCGAGAGATATGTGTCAGCTAACTGCTTGGTGTACAGCGTAGCGCCGCTCTCAAGGTCGACTGGGCCAAGTTGACCAGCTCCCTCGGACTCCGCGGCCAGACCGCTGCTTCCCTCCAGGCCTTCAAGAAGCGTAACGACGATGCGCGCCGCAAGGTTCAGATCCTGTCTGAGCAGGCCCAGACTGTCGACTTCGAGCACTACCGCAAGGTCCTGAAGAACCAGGCCATCGTCAACGAGATCGAGAACCACTTCAAGAACTTCAAGCCCGCCACCTACGATGTCAGCCGCCAGCTGAAGGCCATCGACGCTTTCGAGGCCCAGGCCGTCAAGGGCGCTGAGGAGACCAAGGGCAAGGTTGAGTCCGAGCTCCGCAGTCTCCAGAAGACCCTCGAGAACATTGAGACCGCCCGTCCCTTCGAGGACCTCACTGTTGTATGTTATGGTGTCCCAGGGTTGGACTACGCAGGATTTTGGTACAGATTTATTAATGTCTCTTTTTCTTTTCCTTTTAGGACGAGGTTGCCGCCGCTCAGCCCGAGATCGACGAGAAGACCGCCTCCCTTGTCTCCAAGGGCAGATGGATGCCGGCTGGTTACAAGGTGCGTAATACAATACCTGCATTAATGCCTAACTCTGCGACGAGTAAAACTAATGGATGTTTGAATTATAGGAGCGCTTCGGCGACATGTCCGTTGTTTAAACGGTTACATCTTTTGTACCTATTTACGTCTCTCCATCCTTCGACCAGTATAATCACACGAAGTTACCCTTTGTTGTCAAGCATGTTGGCCAGTTAGGATACCCTTGCTCTCTGGCAGTGTGATTCGGTTGTAGGGTCATGTATAGAAACAATGTTGAATTTAGATGGTTCCCTCTCCAACCGGACCGTTTTTGTATATCGGCCCTCGACCGCTATGTTACGCTCCATATAAAGCAGTCGACTATATATACCATTGAAGGTACCCAGTACGCGCATTTGAATCTTTGGGGCAAATAAATTGTAGCAGTTCGCAAGGAAATTGCGAATAGTGGGCGACCACTGCAGCGTGTTATCGACACTACTCCCTGTCAACTCCGAGAACAGCAAGATGATAAAATCAGGCATCTCTCTGATTTGCTCCCCATACTTTCCCCAGTTTCAAGGACGAGTTCCTTCCGATCGAATCGCTGTTCGGTCTTGATTGCCGCATTGAGCAAATAGTTTGTTTGTCATGGTCGTAGTTTGCAAGGCTCTGGGATTAGACTCGAGACTTAGCCGATCCCGAACAGCCTAAACTCTCTGCGCGAACACGACACAGGGGATTCTGCACTTCATGGCTGGCTCTGGATTGCACATCCACGTCGTGATGGATCAATTATGAGCCACAAAGCCAAATCATCAAAGTCAGAGGCTTAAGTTTACTGACTGCGAACCTATTTGTTATCGGTTCAATCAAATTACGATCTCCACTCTGACAGATTCGCGCCCCTATTTTTGCTTCGCCAGGAACTCAGCTGGGAAACTGGATGGTCTAGACCATAATTTGATGACCACTAAACACCGATGGCCCTGTCAAACTGCAAGTACTTAAGTTCAGGATGGTAAGCTTATCGCCAATGAATGTTGAAGCTCAGGCCGTCCTCTCGAAGTGCCGTCCCTCAAGACTCTATATTATATAATCCCTCCAGTATACGGATAACTAGTTGGAAGGCCATTAGTATTCAGTTCACAATGCCTAACATCTCGCAGCCGGCCCTTGCCAGATTATCAGCACTCGAGAGACTACCGGTGGAAATCATCCAAGAAATCTTCCTCCACTGTCTCGAAGTTAATCTCCCGCGAGCCTCCATACACATCTCCCGGGCTCTCTCCAACACAGTCCTGTACACATGGGTCACTCGCTATGTCTTTAGCAGCACCAACGAAAGCTCAAGACAAGGCTTCTTCACGCCTGATTTTCTTCCCTGGCCTCTTGATGTTTTCGCACTCTCTCCCAATGAAAGGAGAGACCTGCAAAACGTCATCCTCAGTTGTCGCTGGTGTACACTACCTCTGATCCGCAAATGCCAGAGGGAATACATCGAGCATACGATCCGCCGCAAGTGTCTGCAGCTAGACTTATCACCTGGCGACCGCCAGATCCTCATCAATATTGGCGAGCAATTCGACAACGATCTACCTCTTATGCCTGATGAAACATCCCATGCTCATCGCGGAAAAGGCGACCTGATCCTCAAAGCCAAAATCCCAAAGTCAGATGTGGACTGCAAAGTTGCAGTGTGGTTCAATGCTGGCGCAGTCCAGATCCGTCCATCCAGCGAGATATACCAGGAGACTGACATCTTCCGCCTACCATGCTTCGCGGCCAATCTACCAGTTCAGGTCCCGGACAAGCTACTTTTTCCTCCTTGGACTGAATCTAAGCTGGACTTCCTCGAGTTGCTCTCGATGGACGGCTACCTTGACGAGGATCCCGAGCATCCGCGGGCGAAGCGGATCCTTCGACAGACGATTCGAGACCGTGACCTCGCAACGTTTAAGCGATTGCTGAGCATGCGTATTCGTGTGCCGTGGTACAAGTACCCCATTCGGTGGCCGGTTCTTCCAAATCACTTCTACGTGGCTTTGAAGTATGCGGATGAGGTGGAGGACCCTTTCGTCAGGTTGCTGGTGAGTCAGCGATGGGAGGATATCCCATCCGACGACTTTCAGCTCAAGGATCAATTGATGGCTAAACTTGGGACAGGCATCTCGGGATAAGTTGCCAGGATGACCTCAGTCCGCAGGACCCACACGATATAGCCAACTACGGGGTACACCCAATTTACTTCAACTCTTTATAGTTTGGTGAAAATTTCATTGCTCGAAATGGAAACACAGGATATCAGGCATGACACAAAGGACGAGAGGGAAACGCAAGGAACCACAAAAACTCCGAACTGATATCCACATTCATATCCATATCCGTCATAACTTCATGGCGATTAAGTCAAGGTCGAGGTCGAGGTCGGGCATGTCTCGTATCGATCAATGTCAGACTCTTGACCTTCGCGTTCTTCTCCTCCTTCCACCACAGGATCCGCAGGTCAGACACGAGATAATCACGTCGAAGAGGGTAACGACACCGTCGATGATGGCCTTGCAGACAGCACCGATTGTGTTGACGATGCCCATCAGGCAAGCGCCGATGGCGTGGAAGATACTAGTGATCTATATATACATGATGTGTTAGCCAATCACCAGTTCATTTGTTCATATATAAAGCTGAAGAGAAGAAGATAAAAGAAGAAGAAAGACATACGCAAGAAACCACAGCACCCATATTGACGACTCAACTTATGTTTTTCCGTTTGTAGCAGGAGTAGTTTCGAAGCGAAGTAGTATGTATGAATGAACAGAATTATTTCGATCCCTTCGGCACGGTAGAGTTATAGCTCGAAGAAGCAGTAGTATGAGTAGAAGTATCACTGAAAGGACGCATGTTGATGAAAGATATCGAAAGTATCACACGGGGATATATATATATATGCCGTGCAGCGACACCAACTGTAACACTTTCAAGTGGAAAGTACAAGCGACGATCGATGATGTATGATGTCTAACACAAAGTACCTAGTGGCTTGCAACAAGTGAAAGGAAGGAAATAATATGATCGACATAACACCTACATATTAATATCCCAGTTATTCTACGGACCAACTAGTACTATCCTTGGAACCTTCCCACTCCATGCCGTGCTTTCGTTGCTTCACTGTGCCTTGGATGCCGTCATACCGACGACGCTGATGTCTCCCCTCCCCTTCCCTTCCTGAAAGGGGGAATTTCCGGTGCGGATCCCACCCCCGTCAATATTATTACATTTCATGTCACGTTTTGGAGTGACGACGGGGGCTTTGATTCACGATTAGTCGATTGCCACTTATGATAAGGCTGAGCTAGACCCTTGACGTTACCGGGTTGCTGGTCTTGATTTTTTTCCCCTGCGAAATTCACCAGGGGGACAGTGTGACGTCATGACTTGTGGTGGCCCCCCCCTGGTTCCTTGTGGCTGGATGGGGGTTAGTGTTAGGGTTGAGTGGTGCTGGATTGGGAAGGGGTCAGGTGAGAGGGGAAGCCCTGTGGTTGCCTTTTTTGGGTTGATATGGGTGGTTTGCTTTGTTTGATAGCTGAATATGGATGTTTTGAAGGGAAGTATGGATTACTTGCTTGATGCTGTCTACTTGACTGTCTAAGGTTCAATGAAACGAATGGCAATTGTATGCATGCATAATGTCATTAAATATGAATCTATTTACCTATGTTATCTTACACATTACCATCACCGTGTCAATAATCTACACAGCATCCGCTTCCTCTCGCACTATCCACACACCCAAGTATGCACATTACATGTTCGACAACAATCTCAAGATCCCACTCACTCTCCCACCCAATGTAATCTGGTATCCCGTCTCCACGACACCCTTACACATCTCCCATGCGCCGGTGCCGTCCTGCCGCGCACCATCACCCTTGCGAATAGGGTAATCCACTCTGGGCGGAATCCTCGTCGCCATAACCTTAGGGAACCGGTCCACGCAAACAGCCTTGATATTGCTGACACCCCTCAAGCCCTCTTCGCCTGCGAACCGACCGTACCCGGATCCCTTGACGCCACCGAACGGCAATTGAACCGCATAGTAGCTGCCAAAGTCGTTGACCGACACCATGCCCGACTTGATGTTCGCCACGCACTTCGCAATATCCGTCTGATTGTAGCCGAAGACGCTGGCACCCAGTCCGTAGTCTGTTGAGTTGGCGATGGAGATGGCGTGGGGGACGGAGGAGGCGCGCATCACGAGGAAGACCGGAGCGAAGAGCTCCTGCTGGGCGATCTTCATGGTCGGCGTCACGTCTACCAGGAGAGTCGGGGTGAAGTAGTGGCCCAGTGGGTGTTCGGGGTGCTGGAAGCGCTTTCCACCGCAGATTAGGCGTGCGCCTTGCTTGACGGCATCGGCGATGAGGGATTCTAGGCGGTCGAAGGAGGCCGGGGAGATCATGGCGCCGACGTCGGGGGTTCCGGCGGAGGTTTGGGAGTCGAGGAGGATGGAGCCGAGACGAAGGCGAGCGATACGGGTGGATACGGTCTCAACAAGTTTGTCGTATGCGTTGGGGAGGGCGATGATGCGCTCTACGCCGATACAGTTCTGGCCGGCGGATTGGAAGACACCACGCATGAGGATCGAGGCGATGGCGGGGATTTCGCTGACCGTGCGCGAGTCGTCAAGAACCAGGGCTGGGTCTTTGCCGCCTAGTTCGACGGTCACGGGGGTGAGGGATTTGGCGGCGGACTCGCAGACTTTGTGGGCGACGGGCTTGGAACCGATGAAGGTCAATTGGGAGATGTCTGGGTGAGAGGTTAGGTGGTCGGCGACGTTAGGGAGGCAAACGATGCTCTGGACGAGGTCGCGCGAGTGGCCGCAGCTGGAGAGCGCTCCGCGGATGATCTCGAGGAAGAAAGCGGAGGACCACGCAGTTTGTTCGGAGGGCTTCACAACGACACCGTTTCCTGCAAAGATAGCGCTAATGACCGGGGAGATGAAGTTGTGGAAAGGGTAGTTCCATGAAACACAGGCAGAGACGACACCTAGAGGCTCGTAGGTGACCATGTTCTTCTTGTACATCATGAGGAAGTTTGTCGGGCGCGATTCCGGTGCCAGGGCCTTTTCACCGTGGTCAAGTGTCCATTTGAGCTTCTCAGCGGTGACGAGGATCTCTCCGAATGCAGCATCGACTTTGGTTTTGCCTGAATCCAAGCAGCAAGCAGTTACGAGTTCATCTTGGTGGTCGAGGACGTATCTGTTGGATGAAGGGATCAAGGTCAGTGCCTGCGTTGGCTGGCGAAAGTTGAAATGGTAAGCTGGGTACGCACTTCAGCAACGTCCTGAGGACCTTCCTCCTCTCTGCAAAGCTAGTATTGGCCCATTCAAGCTGTGCGCTCTTCGCAGCCAGGACTGCGCGATCGACATCGTCAGGAGTTGCCGGTTTGATTCCATTGCCGAGTACTCTTCCATCCGCGGGGCAGTAGCTCATAATCAAGTTGTCATTCCATTGCTGCGTAGGAGAGAGAAAGTTAGAAGCACTTCGAGATAATATGGGCGTAGGGTAAATCTTGTAAAGGAAAGGGCATCGGTGAAATAGAATGTAGGCAGACTTACTCCCCGGACTTGTCCCTCCAGCACTTTTCTTCCCTCTCCTTGAAGGCTGTCCCACTTCTCGCCCTTCCAATTGGCCCGAATCTCTGGAGGGATAGGCACGTTAAACGAAACAGCGGCTTCCTTCCTGCCCAGAACGTAGAGATAGCCAAGGTACGCGGCTGCGAGCGAGAGCAACGTGACGCCGAGCAACGGGGCCTGAGTCCGGAGATGGCCCACCAGAGGCTGGAGAGCCGGGGGGATGAATTGGTCGAGTGAGTCCATGGTGAAAGTCGCACGGGGCGCTTGACTCAACGGTTTGCTTGCCCGGGCCCTTCTGGGTGTGCAAAAAGCCAGAGAGCGAAAAGGGAGGAGGGGACTTAAGGACTGTCCGGAGGTGGTTCGATCGATTATCCACTGCTCCGATATGCGGGTGCACGTGCCAAGGGGGCGGGTTCCATCCAGCTTTTTGCAGTATGTCAAGAGAGGTTTGGACCATTGTAATGACAGGGACGAATAAATTCTATGCTATAAGGGTTTCGAGATTATTCCAGGTGCCCTTGCATGAGAGCACTAGTGCTAAATAATTAGATACGGTGCCTCAAACTCGGTTGAACCAGTACGTACCTGTAGTACAAGTACTAAGTACTATCTCTCAAGATATATATAAGTAGATGTACCACCATGACTACTAATACTGAGTAGTCAACTTACTAGTAACTGTGATTTGAACTGAAATTTATTTTCATTAGCAAAATCTAGCTCTACGTTATTCAAGCAATGCTAATACTATCTAATAATCAACAACAAACGATTCCATACACAGGGAAGAGTCACACATGGTTCATGCTGACATTAGAAACATCTCTGCTTAAGCACGGCGTTTCCGCCCATTGGATTTGGCATCCTCCGTCACTGATTCTGTGCCACCTCCCTTCCTCTTTCCCGTCCTTTTTACCAGATGATCAATCACACAGCCCTCCTCCCATCCGGCAGATGACTGCCCAGTAATTGCCCGACACCGTGGACAAGACTTACCATGACGGATGAGGAGCTGATGAAGGGAATACTTCAAATGATCAGGAATGCGCACTTCAAGATGGCTGAACGCCGTAATCTCCGTTGCTTTGTCCGAAGGCACCCAGCCCAACCACTTGCATATACGGAAGATGTGAGTATCAACTGCAAAGCAAGGGCGCTGCAAGCAAAAGAGCAACACACAAGCAGCCGTCTTCGGGCCTATACCCGGGTATTTAACCAACTCCACCATGGCGTCCTCTGTGGCAAGGCTGTGAAGATGGTTCAGGGATAGGAAGTGCTGGTCCGCGCATGCAATTTCATATTGCTTGCCACCTTCGGACTTCTTGATCAGATCCTGTGGTGCGTCCCGGGAACCCTTCAGCAGCATGTCTCTGCGCTGCTGATTCTCTTCGTAGACCATGTCTAGTATAGCCTTGATCTTCTTGCTCTTGATATCCGCTAAGCCGCCACGTTTGATGGCTTCAAAGACATCCTTGAGTGGCGCCTGACGGACAGCATCCCAATCCACGCTTCCTTTACCGATACCCTCTTTCAGGATACCAAATCTCTGCACAAGACCGTTGAATGCCATGGCAGAGTTGTTTCCTGTTGTTGCTCCGCTGAGCAACGTGCGGATGAGAGCATCAAGGACCGAAGGAACCTCGCCACAGCCGGTAACAGTGAGCGATGGCTCCGGAATAGTGGTAGGTGCAACAATCTCTCCGTGTACGGTCGAGAGTAACCGATTGACTTCTTCACATTCTTCAGGGGTGGGACGAGCCCAGTCTGGGAATGGGGTAATTCCAGGTGTGAGGCCATATGTATTAGTCTTTTTGGATCTCTTCTCCTTTTCACTGGACCCCGAGGCCGCTTTTGTGGCCTTGTCGACAGTGTTCTGCAGGGTGTTGGAAATTGCATCTATCTCTTCTTTCTTTATAGGGGTGTCGCGGGTGTCTAGCTTAATTGGAGCGCTCTTATCTTGCAGCTCGGGTAGCAGAGTAGCCGAACCTAAATTGTGAGGAAGTTCTTGGGCATCATTATTTTGTGCATTTCTGCGGTTCGTCTTTGTCCTCTTGGAGACAGGTTCACCAACTGGCCCGTTGCGCTTCGTGGGTCGAGTGTGACTCGCAGATGTAGCGGCGGCTGCTCTTCTGGCCGAGTCTTTGAAGGCTGCAGCATCCGAGTCTGATACCTTGGATGGCTGGGCCTCGTTCTGTTGCATCTGAGCAGCAAGTAGCGCTGTCTCCCGCGCAGTGGCGGAACGTGTCATACGAGCCATGACTACTCAATCAATGACATATAGTGGATAAACGGCTGTGCACTCTTCACACACAATAGAGGCAAAAAAGAAGCCGACCGACACTTTGAAATGCCGCGCAATTTTGATTCAAACCACGGTGTATACCGTCCGCTGAAGGATGAGGTTAGACAGATACTGCATTACGCAAAAGTCGCCAAATCATATCGATATTGAATCAACCACCGTAATCGTTATGCAAGAGTCTAGAGGTTGGTGGCCACGCGAGACGATCAACTGTCGTCACATGATCGGGGAACCTGCAGGGCCGTTCTGCATCTACGTCATCCTATCAAAAAAAGTCCAGTTGCACAAGAATTTTCATCGGTGGTCTATATATTCGTTAAACTCAGGGTATCTCAGCCCTTCGTTGTCTTTGTTAACAAGTCAAGCAAATGACCTCCCTATCTATCGTCCACCGTCTACAAACTCCAAGACTCCAGACCACATAAATGCCATAAAATGGTTTAAATAGGCCATAATGTCATAATCATGCGTGATCAGCAATGTTATGGATGCTGATGTCCATACGATCCTTCACCTTGGGATGCTCCTCCTCCTTGTGTTTGCGGGTGGTGCACACGCTGACCTGGGGCACCTCCGACTCGCTGGGGTCCTGCGCGGGGATGATGTTGCCCGCGCTATCCAGCTTGACACCATTGGCTGCCATGCGGAAGTCCTTCTCGCTGGCAAAGCCGTGGGTGACAGCTTCCTTGGCACGGTCCAGCGCCTTGATCTTGCGACCTTCGCCTCGGAGCTTCTCCAGGTGCTCAAAGTAGCCCTCGGAGACCGGGGTGATGTAGTTGCCGCAGAAGACACCGACTTCAAAGTCGTGTGGCTCAGACAACCCATTCTCCTGAGCGATCTCAGCACAGGCACCCTTCAAGTCATCCAATGTCTGGTAGATGACACTGTCAGCACCAATGTGCTTGGCGATAGACTCGGTGTCGCGGTTGTGCGCGACGAGCTCGGCAGGCGAAGCCAGGTCAATACCATAGATATGAGCATGTCTGTCAAGATGGTAAGCAACTGAAAGATGTTCAAACTGGGACTGTTGCCACTTACGTGATCTCTGGGGCGCAACTGGCAAAGTAGACCTTCTTAGCACCGGCTTCCCGGGCCATGGTGACGATCTCCCGACTAGTCGTACCACGCACAATACTATCATCAACCAAAAGGACATTTCGGTCCTTGAATTCGGCCTGCATAGCATTCAACTTGCGGCGGACACCCTTCTGTCTGGTCTTCTGCTCAGGCATGATGAATGTACGGAAGACATAGCGGTTCTTGACGAAACCTTGGCAGTAAGGCTTGTCCAGATACCGGGCAACGGCCGCCGCAGACGTCGTAGAGGTCTCGGGGATGGGGATAACGACATCGATATCCTTGACCACTTCCGGTCCAAGGACATTGAGGATTCTGGCAGCGAGACGGTCACCCATCCGCTGACGACTACGGTACACGCTGATACCGTCAATAACGGAGTCAGGACGAGCAAAGTAGACATATTCGAAGATGTCAGGAGCATAGGACTTCTTGGGAGCGACCTGACGGAAGACAGGCTCACAGCCCTTCTCGATGATGACCGCCTCACCAGGCTGAATGTCGCGGATGTTGCTGAATCCAAGCTGGTGAAGGGCGACCGACTCGGACGCCATCATGTAATCGGTGCCCTCACCGTCAAGGGAGGCCCGAGAACCGAGGACGAGAGGACGGATACCATAGGAGTCACGGAAACCCAGAAGACCGAAGCCCGCAAGCATAGCAGTGCAAGCCCAGCCACCCTGGCATCTCTCATACATGCGACTGAGACTGGCGAAGAGGTCTTCCGTGTTGACACGGGCCTTCTTCGTCTCGCTCAGCTCGTCAGCCCAGATGTTCAGCATCAACTCACTGTCGCTGTCAGTGTTGATGTGACGGTGGGCTTCGATGTCGAGATATCTCTTCAGCTCGGGAGCGTTGATCAGGTTGCCATTGTGAGCCAGGCAGATACCATATGGACTGTTCACATAGAATGGCTGAGCCTCGGCGTTGGCACTGCTTCCGGCAGTAGGATATCTCAGATGACCAATTCCCATAGAACCCGGCAGGTCTGCTACCCTGGCGCCATCGTTGAAGACCTTGGCCGCCATACCGTTCGACTTCAACTGATAGATGCGACCGCCGGTTGCGCACGTGGCAATTCCTGCTGCATCCTGACCTCTGTCTAATCACGATAAGACGAATATTAGTTGGGTGTGTTTCAGGAAGCTGACAGTCTCCGCATTCTGGGGCTAAACTCACGTTGAAGCAGGTAGAGTGCCTCATGAAGGTCGATGGCAGCGGACGACGAGGGGTTCGCCTGAATCAGAGCAATGATACCACACATTATGTCGGCGGTAGGATGTTCTAGTTGGAAGCTTGAGATTAGCACGTGCTTCCCCAAAGAAATGATGAGCAAAGCAAAATTTCAGTGGCAATGTAAGTCTAGTCAGATCGGAAAATATCCGCAATGATGCTTAGGAAGTCTAACATCTATAAAAAAAAACCGAAATTCATCATAGAAAGGACGAGGATTGAACAAGAAAGGGAGGATGAAGAAAGCGATCCTATACTCACATCCAGAACGGGTAGAGAAAGACTTGGGGACACACACACACAGTGTGGTGGGGTAAAAAACGGAATTGGACGGGTGTAAAAAGATGGGATAGAGCCGGAAACGTCTATCGAGACATAACAAGACTCATGCAAAGGTAGTAATGGTGGCGGATGATGGCCAATGTCACGCCCACGGAGGGATAAGTGAAGCGAATAACATGGTTAAAGGAGTTTTTTTAGGAGAGGAAGAGAGGAGAGAGAGGCCTCGCATCTTATTTCTCCTGTTCTTCTCCACTGCCAACCGAGTAAAAGGGAAGAATTTTTGCGGGTGCCGCTAAACCAAAGAAAATTTCACAAACCGGAGATTGCCCCGGCTTTCCAGTAATGCCGATGCCGGACCTGACTCAGCTCCCCGCCCGTTCCTGCCATTGGTTGATCCATGCTTTGCTGGTCTCGACCACTCAGAGATGAGTGTGTTGATTAGGTAAGTGTTATCTATATAATTTCGTAGTAGATACTAAGTACTACTAGTATAGACATACTAGAATTACTCTAGCACAGGCTATTGCCGTTATTTTGCTAATGCCAACTCGGAATATTCCTGCCACAATGCTGATCTGCCTAGACTCTTGTGGCTGCTACCTAGTCACACTCAATCTTACTGAACTGGGGTTGTGAGACCTGGGTGAGGGAGCTGTGTAGCCAATGTGATGCAAGACTAGCAATCAGCCATAATGTACTTCACAGCTCATTCACAAGTCAGGTGCTTCTCTGTTATACCTCGGAATAGCTTCATGTTATCAACCCTATATGACCCATGCAGCTACCTAACGTTCACATCCTCACGCACTTCTCACTCTCCTTTGCCCTCCTCCACTTCTTGACCCTGTCAACCGTAGCAATTCTCCCCCTCGTAGCCAATCAGACTCTCCATTCACTCTCCCATCCCCTCAGTTCGGTGCCTCTCATCTGCCATAACGTGTGCAAAGCGTGTTATTGTTCACGAGGTCGTCTATCCAAACTCTTCTCATGGGTTACTCGCTCTTCACACTTCCTTCAAGCCGCCTTTTCCTGCCCATTCCTCTGCCTATAAAGATGCCTTCTCTTCTCTTCCAACTTTCTCTCCTCTGCATCTTCCTCCTCTACATTTCTCCCTCCTTCTCGCAAGTTTTCTGTCTTCTCTATCATATTCTCGCCCATTCAACACCGTTTTATCTGCAAGGATATTCTTCTATCTATCTTCTCCTTCTACTTATCTATCTGTCATCTACAATGGCTCCATTCTCCTTTTCCATGCCTCACCTCTGCGAAAGCGACAACGATTGGCCCTCCGATCTTATGTCTATCGATGAAAGCTCGGATCACAGCAGCGTAACGGTAGAAAATGACCCAGACCGGGTGTTGAACATCCAGACGGGAATTCGATCAGGCCCTCTTTTTGAAAACAATCCTACACCCGCTGAGTTCGATGAAATTATTGAGCTCGACTCAGACACTGAGGAGGGCTTCAATGAACAAGACTACCTGACCGACGCTGCGTTCAATCGGCTACTACAAAACTGGCACAGAGCCCCCCAAGGACAAGATGCTGATGCCGAGGTGCAGTTCATTGATGTCCAACCAGCCAAGCGTCCCCTAACAGAATGGTGCGCGAATGGCATTGTCTACACACCGGGGCAATCCCTAGAAATTTTTGATGGAAATTTTATCCGGATAGAGAGCATATCCCAGCACGTTGTGTCTAAGGAGATCTTCTTCAATGGGAGGCACTTATTGCGTGCTACCAACCACAAGGGCACATATATCCCCAAGTGGCCCAACGAGCTCATTTGGATAGCAAATGAGAAAAGAAATATCGGACTGCCATTGATTAAGCGCATTGTAAATATCACTTTCACGAATACCTGCCATGTGGAGCATGATCCCCGGAAGAAGCAGCGTCCTCACGGTCTGTTCTGCAGGCTGAAGGAGAACTACCGCCTGAAGCCAGATGATCCAGCATCAGTTGAATACATCTCCTTCGAGGAGGCAGATGAAGGGTATAGGGCTCATCCCAGCAGTCTACGCAAGGCGTGGAGAGGAACTACCCGTCCTTTTGGAGCGAGTGATGCCCCGCAGGCCATCGATCTCGAGGGACCTGTAATTGATCTGACTGGACAAAGTACCGACGATAAAAGCAGTCGGCAGTACACGTTTGGAGACGGCTTCTGCGGTGCTGGCGGAGTGTCCTGCGGCGCTCTCAAAGCTGGTTTGCGTCCAACCTGGGCATTTGATAATTCCAGACACGCGATAAATACCTACCGTCTCAATTTCCGTGATGCCGAGTGCGAAGACTCGGATGTCTTCACCTTTTTGACGAACGATTATGCGTTTCTCAAAGTTGATGTTACGCATGGGTCTCCGCCATGCCAAACCTTTTCCCCAGCTAAGACCATACAGTGCGCTACAGACGATGCAAATTCCGCATGCATCTTTTCGTGCGCCGAGATGATTCGGAAAGCAAAGCCGAGGGTACATACGATGGAAGAAACAAGTGGGTTGTACGAGCGGCATCGAGAGACATTTCACCGTGTGGTTCAGGATTTTATTGAAATCGGTTACTCTGTGCGGTGGACAATTCTGAAATGTGCAGATTATGGAGTGCCACAGCTGCGACGACGATTGGTAATCATTGCATCTGGGTCAGTAGACATTGTGTGTCTTTCTTGTTTACTTTGACTGATGGCCTTTGTAGCCCTGGAGAGACACTCCCACCGTTTCCTGAAGCAACGCATGGGCTACCTGGTTCCGGCCTCAGGGACTACGTGACGATTAACCAGGTCATTTCACGCATCCCCCGCGGAGCCCCTGACCACGATGTCGAAGGCGCGCTGCAACGTAGCGCGATTGACCGAAGACCTTTTAACGCCAACAGACAGGCACGAACTATTACCTGTGGCGGCGGCAAGAATTATCACCCCTCGGGCCGACGAGGCTTCACCAACAGGGAGTTTGCGTGCCTGCAGACTTTCCCTATGCGTTTCCGCTTCGGGCCTCGCGAGGTACGAAAACAAATTGGCAACGCAGTGCCGCCGAAGTTGGCAGAAGCTATTTATCGTAGTGTGAAAGCCTCGCTGCAGCGAACAGATGAGGAGGAGACAAATCTTCAGCGGCGAGGGCTACACTAATCTTGGTATAACCATCGCCTCGTCTTTTGTGCATCTTGTGCGGACTTCGTATGCACTTTTTTGTTTATTCTTCTTGTCGGATTGTCAAATCAATGGCTTCAATTAGAATATTCCTCGATTAGAACATCATCACAATGAGTCTCGTTTCTTGTTTACTTTGAGAACCTGTGTATCTTATGTTATTTCTTTTCACAGTGAGTTTGGAAAGTATTGGCGGGCTTGCGTTGTGTTCGGCCCTCGGTGTGGAATTCGGGTACCCTCAGTGAGTGGAGTCCGACTGTCAGAGCTCCGAGGGGGGAAGATGGGGATGATCCGCCAGGAGATCCACATGCCTTTGCCTCAATTTGATAGCCGCGGGAAGGCATGAAGCCGTCCAACCGCGGAGAGAAGGGCGCAGCCGTCGCCACGATCGGGGACGGGTTCTGGTGGGAGGACGTTGGAAATGTTAGAGGAGCGAGATGAATTGCTGATAATAGATTTTGCTTCAAGATGATCTCAATTGTGCGTTGGAGATGCAGGATCCGGTCGTCGTAGGTCATGCAAGGTGGCACCTCCTGCATGATACTAAAGCACTAGTTCTCGACCGGGCATTCTGAAGTTGAGACGGAGGGGCCCAGCCAACATTATTAGCATTGGATTCACAGTGATGAGGGCGTTCAAGAGGAGAAAACTCTGGGTCAGGCACCGGTCGCACTGAAACTGGTTTTTGAGCGCCATTGACTTTCTGAATATTGGGACCACGCGAAAAGGCGCCGATTGACTTCTCCGATCAAAGGAGTATGAGGATTGATGGGAATCCCTCCCCGCTTCGTGTGTCTCCGGCCAGCCGGCAATAACCGCCCGATTGATTATAGGAGGAGGGAATAATGGCCTCGGTTCAACGCCGGGGGGCGGTATGAGATCAGGGTGACTTTAGCTCACCGTCCCTTTCCTTTTCCCTTCTTCCCTTGGATTGCCCCCAGCAACGTAAGTCTAAATACTACTTTACTCATCCCCCCCATTTTCTCCGTGCTTTCCGCCCTGTCTTTCTTTCTTCTCCTTCTCTCCCTCTCCAATTCGGCGGCATTGCTGCATCCTCCTCCATTCATTGCATCGTCTTGGGTATCATCATGTCTGCCTCTTGTTCAGCGTTGAGACGGCTGACCCACAGGTCTCCCCGCACTTGGCCCTCCCGCATCTCCTCCGTCTCCAGGCCTGCATCTTCTCTTTCCTCCGTTGCTCGTCCGAGTCGCAGCACACCCTCAACTTTTTCTCACATCTCTCGATTTTCCACCATGTCTCCCCTTCAACATGCTGCTCCCGTCGTTCCCGGCGATAAGCCGTACGACCCAGAGATCAAGGATATGGCCGACTATATCCACAACTACAATGTGAACTCGGACTTGGCGGTACGAGGGTTCTCCCATGTTTTGATTGACTTTCTTCTGTGTGCGATGGACTAATTGAAGACATCCTGACTTTTAGTATGACACCGCCCGTTTGGTGTTCCTCGACACTCTGGGGTGCGGTTTGGAGGCATTGAAGTTCAAGGAATGCTCCAAGCTCCTGGGCCCGGTGGTGGACGGCACCGTGGTGCCCAACGGAACTCGCGTTCCTGGAACGCCCTACCAGCTGGACCCTGTCAACGGCGCTTTCAACATTGGCGCTATGATCCGCTGGCTGGACTACAACGACTGCTGGTTGGCTGCTGAATGGGGTCACCCCTCGGACAACCTGGGTGGAATCCTTGCTGTCGCCGACTGGGTTTCTCGCACAAACCGTGCGGGCGGAAACATTGCCAACGGCAAGATCTTCAAGGTCAAGGACGTCCTGGAGGCCATGATCAAGGCGCACGAGATTCAGGGTGTGTTGGCGCTGGAGAACTCCTTCAACAAGGTCGGCTTGGACCACGTCGTTCTCGTCAAGGTTGCTACCACTGCTGTCGTTGCAAAGATGCTCGGCCTTAGCGAGAAGCAGACCGCAGATGCGATTACCCAAGCATTCGTGGACGGACAGTCTCTCCGTACCTACAGACACTCCCCCAACACCATGTCGAGGAAGTCCTGGGCTGCGGGTGACGCATGCCAGCGGGCCGTGAACCTCGTCTTGAAGGTGCAGAAGGGCGAGGGTGGCCTGCACACCGTCCTGTCTGCTCCCGTTTGGGGTTTCTATGATGTCCTGTTCAAGGGCAACAAGTTCCAGTTCCAGCGCCCCTACGGTAGTTATGTCATGGAGAATGTTCTGTTCAAGGTCTCCTACCCGGGTAAGTCTAGCATCAGACGTCAGTATGGAGGGAATACTAACAGTTGCCATGATAGCCGAGTTCCACTCCCAGACCGCGATCGAGGCCGCTGAGATGGTTAACGTGAAGCTCAAGGCTCTCGGAAAGACTGCCGCCGACATTAAGGAGATCAGAAACCGCACCCACGAGGCGTGCATTCGTATCATCGACAAGCAGTTCAAGGCGATGGACAACTTCGCCGATCGTGACCACTGTGTTCAGGTAGGTCCTGCCGGATCCAAAATTTGAGTGTCATGCACCACGCATACTGACAACCGCGCCAGTACATGGTCGCGACCATGTTGGTCTTCAACCGGTTGACTGCCAACGACTACGCCGACGGATCGGAGGCTGCTACTTCTCAGCTCCTGGAAGACCTGCGCAAGCGCATTTACTGTGTCGAGGATCCCCAGTTCACTAAGGATTACCACGACCCTGCCAAGCGCACCATCCCCAACGCCCTTACCGTTACTCTGAATGACGGAACGGTGCTGGATGAGGTGGTTGTCGAGGCACCCTTGGGCCACCGCCTGCGGCGTGAGGAGGCCAAGCCGGAGATTCTGGCCAAGTACAAGCGTCATCTGCAGGCGCACTTTGACCAGGCCCGCATTGACCAGCTGATTCAGGTTGGCTGGGACCAGGCCGCTCTTGAGGGCTACGACGTTGACCAGTACGTCGACTTGTATGTCAAGGACCAGATGGTGGCAGCTCAGTAGAGTCATGATTGTATATGCGGCATGGAGAAATTATACCATAATCAGAAGCGAGACTTTGGAGACATCGTGTATGAGATTAACGAGAATTAGCCACTGATAGAATACATTGAATTACCATATGGTGGGACAGCGATAATCAGGATTCTGCAGGCAGGAGGAATGAATAGAGGTCGGGCTAGGATACTAGTGGATGGCCTCGCTGCCGACGGCTACGCGACACGCTGCCGAACCCGCCAACAACAAGATCCACGTTTATCAGTCAGGATCAAGAGCTTGCCGACCCTCTCTATGTTATCATCTTGCAGAGTAGTCGAGCTAGTAGATTTCCCCATACAGACAGCAGCTGATATCATCCCTACAGAATATACTCATCCAAGGGCAGCACGTACCAGATCGTTTGGCCTACTTCTGAGTCTGTTGCTATAGGAGATTTACTATTTCCTCTACTTCATAAATCACAGACTAGTACTAAGAGCACATAGCAAGCTGGCATATGGCCCCAGTCCTTTAGTTGCATCAAGGACCATGTCAAATTAGAAAGATCACCTTCCTCATCATCTCCCCACCCAAACCACCACCGATAGGATATCGGCGATAAGGAAGGCCCCAATATCTATCTACTTACTGCCTAGAGCAGCAACAGTGCCGCGTTGGTGGCTGTCTCACCGCACCACCAATCATATCAACACCGAACCTGCTATCAGCGCAGCGCACGGATTCCCCAACCCGCTAGCCTAATGCAGGCTCGATAAGAAGCGAAAACCTGGGGTAAAGACAGTACTAAGACACTATCTCGGCATCGGCTGTTGTCGATCGGGACAGCTTGCCGATACAGCCAATGATCGTGTTAGTGGGGAGAGTGGCAGCGAGGATACTGAGTTCATGCCAAGATGAGGGCCGATAGGATGCTGAGGGGAATTGCATTCCATCTGGGCTGCTTGTTGGGATGTATATAGGGGAGTTTATACGCGCCATGTTGTGCTTGTGTTGGTATTTGCTTGGAAACTGCCATCGTCTCTCAATACCATGACGGAGTTTACAACTGAAAAGAAGGAGGAGTGCGGTGGTGATCATGAGGCTGTGAAGACAAGTTTTGATAATGGAGTTATTGAATTGGAGTCGATGCCTCAGTTTTCTGCTGAGGCGGAGAAGAGGCTTGTGAGGAAGATTGATTTTCGGTATGCATGCTTTGAATCTGCTCCATGGGAGTGAGGAGAGTTAACGGTGACCCAGGATTCTTCCTATCATGCTGGTCGCGTATATGATGTCGTTTGTGGATAAGCAGACGTTGAATTACTCTGCTATTATGGGTCTTTTGACTGACCTGAAGCTGCATGGTACGGAGTATAGTTGGACCTCGTCGATATTTTATTTTGGGTATCTTGCGTTTAGGTAAGTTGACTACCACATGAAGTATAGGCTGAGTGAGCACGGTCTGATAAGTTGCATTCAGTTATCCCGCATCACTGCTTCTCGTCAAGTTCCCCTTGGGAAAATACCTAGCGTGCACATAGTATGTCTCCTCTTCCTGACACCACCAAACCACACGCTTATAGCTATAGTCTCTGCTGGGCCGTTGTCCTCGCATGTCATGCTGCTACTACAAATTTCACCGGGCTCATGGTCGCCCGGTTCTTCCTAGGCTGCGCAGAAGCCAGCGTGACCCCGGGATTCGGCCTACTCACGTCTCTATGGTATCGCACGTCCGAACAACCTCTTCGCCACGGGATCTGGTTCTGCGGCAATAGTTTGTCATTGGTGCTTGGGAATGCCATTGCTGTGGGTATCTGGCAGATCAAAGACAGCTTAGCGTCATGGAAGGTAGAGCCCTTACAGATTTTCTCATCTTGACACAAATCTGATATCTAACAGTGGATGTTCATCATCTTCGGCATCGTCACATTCCTTTGGGGCTTCCTAATGCTCCTTCGACTGCCCGACTCACCCACAAATGCTTCTTTCCTAACAGACGAGGAGAGGGTCATTGCCCTGGCACGACTGAAGGCAAACAAAGCCGGTTACAAGAACAATAAGATTGAATGGGATCAAGTCATCGAAGCGTTCACAGACCCGAAGACCTGGTTTTTGGCTGTGTTTGTTCTGGGTTGCAATATCCCCAATGGGGGCTATACGACGGTGAGACTTTCATCTTTGTGAGTAGATATGCGCGACTAAAGAGATGATACATAGTTCTCCGGTCTCATCCTCAAGGGCTTCGGATACGACACCGAACATACCCTGTTACTGGGCATGCCCGGAGGATTCATCGTCTTCCTCATCATCCTGATATCGTATGCCCTACCCTTATTATCCATTATCCAAACTACAAAGACCACCCTCTAAAATTATACATTATTACAGCTGCTTCACCTCGACCAAAATCTCCAATAGCCGCTGCATAACCTCCATCATACTCTCTTGCGTCAGGTACACCTCACCCCCTCTCCAACCCCTTCTATCACACTAACCAAAAGCAAAGTATCCTAGG